CAAATCTGCCCTAGGGTTTCCCTTTAAAAGGGAAACCCTGTTCACGAGATGGGGCTGAGCCCAACTTCAGCGATTTCAACAGAGGAATATTTCTCTGTGGCGGCGGCTTTAACTCCAGCGGAAATTCTCAGATTAATTTGAGAATCAAATTTTTCGGTCAAGAAAAATTTGCACTATTCCTGTAGCATTTACTACAGTGAAGGTAGTTGGTGTTGTGAGAACTCTTGTTTGAGATTCTCACTTTTACAAGCTTTGTAATTTCCTGTGGTTAAATAAGAAATTAATTGTGTGGCTCCCGTGGACGTAGGTAAGTTTGCCGAACTACGTATATCTGTTGTCCCGCCTCATTTACTTACTGTTTACCTGTGTATTCGTTATTGCTTGTATTGGTTAGTTTGAGTTTGGCTTAAACTCAAACTTGGGTTGTTTCTCTCGGGATAATTAGCTTCCGTGGCGGTGTGGACGTCACGCATCCCAACACATTTTCTTTCCTTGAAAATTTATAGGAGGATTGCTCCCATAATCCACAAGTACTTCTCCGAACTCGTTCATGTCAAGTCAACTCTCAAAACAAACTCTAGGGACACACACGACCAAAAACTTGGAGTATTGGATGAGCAACCTAATTCAACTGAAATACAATGTCACCTTTACAAGTTGATGCTTTGAAAAAAGGATTTTCAAATGTTAAAATCACCTAAGTGAAATAACTACTCAATACTCGATCAGATCTTTAGCAACATAGTTACTCCAAAAAAAAATGATAACCACTATTTAAGTGACATGATATTCACTTTGGAGGTGCATGCAATTTAAACAATTGGATTCCATGCTTGCCAGACCTCAAATTTTCCATACATGGTACCTGTTACCCTAGCACAGAGTTGAAGCTTACTCAACCTAGACACATCGTGATTGCATAATCCACTATCACTGGAATCATGCTATTGAGTTTTAAAGGTGGGTAAAGTTGACCATGTTTAGAATAGATCAAGCTTTACCTAGTCCACTTCTTTACATACAACTATTAGATTGAAGAGGCATCAATAAACTAAGATATTAATTAAATAAGCTGTACGTGAATTGCTTTTGTTTGGCTCAGTTTTATCTTGCTGATCTGAATAGTCAATAGTGAGATCTTAGCTACAAACTATAAGCAGCTTGAGCACATAATAGCTTGAAATAACTTTGAACTTAGCTGCAAGCCTGCAACATAGTCTGAATTAATCAACTCAGTCAGTTACTCCCTAATAGTCCTTCATTGTAATGTGATATTCATGTCAACAACCATGCTTGTGAAGAAACTCTGTGATGTTGAGAATTTCTCATCTTTGAATACAAGTAATTAGTATTATTATTCCACGACAAAAGGAACTGCTCTAGTTTGTGAATCATAGAAAATATACAGAGTTGCGTCTGGCTGCTCTAGAGAACTTCTTTCACCACCCTGACATGCGGGTCCATCTGTGACATCTAACTGGGTCTGGCCTACTTGAATTGTACACACACCCAATGGAATACTTGGTCTGGTTTCAAAAAATTTAACCATGAGGTACTTCCAAATTGTCAAGTCATAATCAGGTGATATATGTTGCTTGTTTTGTTTAATCAATATAGCATTCAGGGCTTACATTCTTATGAGATTCTGGAGTGCTGGATTCTAATTTTTAATGTGCTTGATTGGTCCGAGTTCAATTGGATGATATATTAACTTCTCTGAGAACAGAACTGGATTTTTGAGATCACCAGATGAGCACAGAGTAGGTGACATCCATAATTCAGTGACACTATAGATGCAATTCCTATTTTTCCAAAAGTCAATGCAACTGAGACTAAAAGGAAATGTCAAAAGGTTACTATAAAGATTGCCTAGATAACTACCAAGTAAGTGGAGATGAGAAGAATCTTAGATGAGCACAGAGTAGGTGACATCCATAATTCAGTGATATTCTATTGATGCAATTCCTATTTTTCCAGATGTCATGCAATTGAGACCAAAAGGATATGCCAAAAAGTTACTATAAAGATTGCATAGATAACTTCCAAGTAATTGGAGATGAGAAGAATCTTAGATGAGTATCATATTTTTGTCTTAAAAATGTAGTTACTTGCTTCAGATTATGTAAGGTTGATGTTAGTGGGACTCCCTAAAAACTGTCAACAATCTGTTTTGACAGTCCATCCATCCATTTTCTAGTGCCCTCTGGTGGATATCATGATGCTTCAGTTTTTGAACCAAGAACGCATTTGCAAGTGCTGTCGTAGTATTTTCTGCTGGTGGTTTACCAGAGAACCTATGATTATAATCAATACTAGAAGGATGAGGGTACCATCAATATGCTTGATCTGTCACATGATGAGAATGACTTACTGCTCACTAACCTAATGGCTTTTCCCTCTTTTGCTGCTAGGTTTCAAAAGATTAGACTTTTTTTCTCCCTATTTTTTTTAGTATTAGTCAATCAAAATGTGAACAAAAGTTAGATTATCATCGTAATTCTACCCAACTCAATTTTCCTCACAACCTAACCCTATATAACATCACCCGCCAACCTTGAGAACCCCACTATTCGACGTTCTGCATGTATGTATCCTGATTGGATTGAAAATTTGGAAGTTTGTGATTGATACCACGCTCAATCATTCTCATAGATGATGCAACCTTCAGTATTAAGACCTTGTCCTAAACTTCATGGACATACATGCATCAGCAAGATCATATTGGTCTATTTCTTGTGAGGTGCAATAAGCCATGGCGATGCATACCTCATGAGCTCGCAACCTGAGGCAGCACGTACCAAGCTTTCGTTCAACTCCAAATATCTAAAGCTTAGTTTTGTTCATTACCATTAAAAGCACACATTACCTTGATCCAGTCTACATTTGTAATCTTTTAGCTTCCTCTGTACTTAATCTATCTGATGGGCACTTTGTACAACTTTTGAAGCATTAAATCCTTAGCTTGTCCTGTTAATCCTCTGCTTTGTCTCTTTACAAATGTTTAGTGAGATTCCTAGACTCACATGTTTTTTATATATATATTTTTCTTTGTAAACTAATGAGGCTGTGATCTTATTTTTTTCCAGGGAGCTGGTTTGTTCGCTTGTTGCCAATTTGGTGTGGTCCCCTGTCATCCTGATTGGTAAGCCACGGGCTCGACTCTTCTTCCTAATTGCGATTAACTAATCCATGATTAGCACCTTGTTCATTATTGGAGGTAAGCTATGGCCATGCTTACCCATCAAGAATCTTGTCAGGATCAGCTTATGCAATGCTTGTAGACAACCATTTCCTACCTTTCTAAGCTATCTAAGCGGCCTTCTGTGTTAATACAAACAAACCCTTAACTAGCTAGGGGATGCCTAAATTATTCTCTTATGTAGATCCTGTGATCCATCACTTTCATTGAGAACGTTACATTGGGCCAGCGGGCCCCTCTGATTATTCTCTTGGGATAGTGGCCGGCTGGGGCTGGGCATTTATCTGTATCTCAACAACAACCATGTGTTATGGTTGTTAGTTGTTACTGTTGCGTTGGGGTACTTTCTCATTATCTTGTGCCATATCAGCTCAAGCCTTATTATATAATATATTATATATATATATATATATATAGTCGTCATATGCTTAAGACTGTATTAGGGTCAACATGCTGCAAATTCTGAACCAATAATTTGGCTGAAAAATATTCTCCTATTCGTAAAGAAAATTCTTATTGTTGATTTTAAAAGATTATCGTAATCTTGGAAGATTTAGTCAAAATATTATGAAAATGGTTTTGTTTTCCCTTTCTCAAGCTTGTTTGCTTGATGTCCATATAGTTTGGCAATCGGCTGATCCAGAATTTCCATATGTTGCACCAAATCCTGTCCTGAATAAGTGGCAACAAACAGTTTATGTTTGAGGGTGGGTGGTGAGGGTGTCGGGGGTGTGACAGCTTCACCTGTAGTTACTTGAATTCAGGAAACTCATGTTGGTTATTTGAACTTTACTTCACAATATAGTAGACTGAGATTAAAAGCAGCATTAGGAATCATATAAATAACTATGCATATGTTATTTTCATGTTTAGATATGCATATTCTATTTCATGTTTACATTCCGCTTTTGGAACTTTATTCTAATAATAAGTTTGCATGCATCTCTTTCATTTTGGGAAAATGTGTGTCTAAATACCTTTGACTAAAGCATTTAGAGTTTGTATTGCATATTGTTCATTTTACATTATATTTTTAGTGATATCTTTACTTTTGAGATGAAACTTGATGCTTCAATTGGAAATGAAACTAATTGCGGATATTCTCCTAAAAGCACCATGAGTATGCTTTATCTACATTAGGAATCAGTTATAGTTAGCTTTTTAATAGTATTTAAATATTTAAAGTAATCTTTGGCACATGCTCTGGGTATCTGAGTGGAAACATGTATCCTAAAAGATTTTCCTTTTTCTCTGATGATAGAAATACCTCTCAGCATCTGTTGACATGATTATTATTACTTATTTTGTGATGAAGACTAAAGTGTTTAATTTTCTGTTTAAATTATTTGAAGTTGCTGAATGTGAAGAATATCCCTTCTTGGCAGGGGCGGATCCATGTCTCCACTAGAGGAGCAGTTGCACCCCTAACATTCTCAAAACTGTCATCCATAAACCTTCAAAAATTGTGTTCTGCACCCCTACAATTTAAAGTATTGCACCCCAAGCCAATTTTAATTTACATAACACAATTAAAACCGTTTGCATTTAGCTCATTTGACACTCGTAGTTAGTAGCGCATTTTAATTTTCAAATAATAAGCTCAAATGAGCTAACCCAGTTAAACTTAGCCTATTAGCAAACTAAAAACCCAAAGCCAAAACCAATATTATATATTTGATTGTTTTATAATATTATAATTTTATTTTTTGGTAAATAGATATTAGTCGTCTCCCCCTCTAAGAAAAAATTTCTGGATCCGCCACGGCTTCTTGGCCCCTTGCTGCAAATGAAATCAAGTTGGTCCATCCGGGCCCACTACCGAATGGAGTTTTTCGGCTAAAAAACCATTAGTTTTGCTCAATTAACGATCATAGAAATGATTGAAATGTTTATCAATTGATCTCTCCAGACTACTTGGCACTCTTTGGTGCTGCCAAGTGTCAAGCATCAGAAAACTTTTCTTCTTTAAGGGGATACTGATTGCTGGAAGAAAGGAGAGTATGGAGCCGTCACTCTTTCTACCAAAGACTCTCCTCCGTCGTCCTCCAAAAGTTTCAGGAAGAGAAGCCCTCTAAAGTTTTCCAATCATGGAGTTTTATAATTGTAAACAAGGAAAAGGCCTGATTCACCCCAACAAAGAGTACACCCATACTTGCACCCACTGGACACTAGGTCTGTTATATATGGGCTCCACATGTCACTGAAAGTGTTGGCATGATTCAATCAAGACTTTGGCTTTGAGTGGACAATCTATAAAAGTAGAAAATAACAAGTTCAGAATTACATCTTATATAATTAGGGCTGATGTGTCCTCTACTTGAAACTATGGTATTTTGGTGCGGAGTATGAGGTTCCAGTGGTAAGCTAGGAAACTAGAGTGTTAGTAAACTACAATGGGTGCATAAGGTGTTATTCTAGCTAGGCAATAATTTCAAATGTCATACCATATTCTATGGCTTGATATGGTAAATTAGTCCTTGCATATAAAATCCACATCAGCACGTCTGGGTGATTTTGGCTTCAACTCACTCAACAAGAAGGACAAAGATGTTGAGGGCAAGACCATGAAATTTCCCACAATGCTCTTCATGGGCCATGGCTTCCCATCTTGAATGGGCAATTGCGTTTCCTATTCATAATGATTGCGATTAGCTACCCTTTTAGGTTGCCACGTCTCTGGGGAGAAGTCCAATGACATGATTTTTGGCCAGGGCTCCATTCTCGGAGGAAACCAACAGGATGACCAAAATGCCCTTGCTCTCATAAGGGGTGTAGGGACTGGATGCCACTTTGTATGATTCTCCATTATTTGATGTTTATTTGTGTGATATTCTCTACATTGTGAATGTGTGTTCCTACAAACGTTGACACCGTTTCATGACCTTCAAAAAATTTAACTAATTTTTGTATTCAATCTCACTTGATTAGCCCACACTTAACTTAGCATTCAAGAAAGCTGAAATTAATTTACGCTAATGAAATCCAAGAAATTACCGATACATTCTCTAATTGTAATCATTGTATGTTGTGTGTTCTCCTGCAAGTTGTGATGGGGTCCATTTGTGTACTATAAGCATGAGGGAGACTTAAGGGAGCCCACATGTCTTTACTGCATAATTTTATCCAATGACGATGTTTATAGTTCCTGGTTGCACATATTTTTATTTTCTGGAACCCACATGTCACAATCATAGGAATTTTTGAGATAACAACCTTAACCATCTTGAATGCTTTTTAATATTTACATGCAAACCTGTCTTAGATGTTTTTAAATTTACTAGTAAATTTATATACTTATTACTATTACTATTATTATTATTATTATTATTAGTATCTGATATTGAGAATGAGAGGAGATTTCTTGTGACTATTGGTCTTTCCGAGTAAACCTTGCAGCACAAGCATGAGGACCCTGGCGTTTTCGAGGGGATTGCGACAGGAGGACACGCCTTCTCTCTATGGAGACACGGAGTTTTTTAACAGTAACGGCTTCTTTCAGAGGCCGAACTAGCTAACAATTGCAAGCGTGGCTAAGTTGGGTCAATCATTTCTATCCTTCTCCCTATATATGTGTGTGATATATCCAAGCCTCACCGGAAAGAAGAGTAACAGCCTTTAATAAGATCTCCTCCATCCAACAAAAGTCTTAACATAAGTATCTTCACACACACTCTCTCTCTAGATCTCTTTGTGAAATGGGATTAAGGGATATAGAGTCTACTCTTCCACCAGGGTTTAAGTTCTACCCGAGTGATGAGGAGTTAGTATGCCATTATCTATACAAGAAGGTGGCTAATGTTAAGGTTTCTGAAGGGACCATGGTGGAGGTAGACTTGCATACTCGGGAGCCATGGGAATTGCCAGGTAAACTTTGTTCCATTTTCTGTTGATTCCCATATGTTATTTTTTTGTTTGTTTATTAAAACTATTTTCTCAAAGGGCTTAGGAAATACATCTATTTCTGAAAAAAGAGAAAAAAAATTAAGTATTGGAAAGCTTGTTGTTTAGGAGCTGGATGGATCGATATTGTAGTTAATGATAAAGAGAATCCTTAATCTGCAAGGAAATGCTAGCAGCATAACCTAATCCAGGTTTATAGTAAACTATGTCATGATGATTTTTTATCAGAAACGAAAGAAAAATTCTGCTGCATGCCATAGAATTGAGTTCATTTACTATGATACGTATCCTGACGTTTTTGAATAAATTCGGTGAATACTGCATGACGTTTAGTTTCATTCTATATGCATTATTCTTTTTTCTGAGGATACTACGTATGCATCATTGCTATTGTTTATTTTATTTCTGTCGTAGTTGTTAGTTTTCCTAATATGCGTAATCAAACTTATGAGTTCTGTTTTCTTTCTCAGTAAGTTTTACTAGCAGTAACATCAATATGTTAAATGAAGTCTAACAGTACACTTAATTCACGTAACCTTTCAAAATCAGTAATATAAGATTCACATGGCGCTAAGCTCTAATTGTTTGTCCTCATCTCGTAAAGAATCCAATCTGTATGACTATTATGTGTCACATGGAGAATAGGACGCCTATCTCTCTGTTCAAATTAGAACTAAGAAACAAATTAATGGTATGCATTATGAGGACACATTCAATCTGACTGTTGATTTATGTGGTCTCAGAGGGTGCCAAGCTCAGTGACGATGAGTGGTATTTCTTCAGCTTTCGTGATCGTAAGTATGCCACTGGCTCTCGCGCAAATCGGGCTACAAAGTCTGGTTATTGGAAGGCCACAGGTAAAGATCGTACAGTATATCACCCCAAGACACGTGGAATCGTTGGGATGAGAAAGACGCTTGTGTTTTACAGTGGAAGAGCTCCCAATGGAGTAAAGACTGGCTGGGTCATGCATGAATTCCGTTTAGAGAATCCACATACCCCACCAAAGGTATTTATGTTACCTGACGTACAAATTATCGTCGTAAGTAAATGTTTTTTATTATATAGTGGTCTACCAAATGTGTGCCTAATATGATGAATTGTAAAATCAAATACATGGAAGCATAGCTTGACCATCAGTCAATGTGTATGTATTGTGGGTATTTGCCCCGTATATCATTTATTAGCATTTATACCCCTATGAACCTCAAATGACATTTTTTCTCCCATTAGGTTGAGATATCACGCTAGAATCAGGTACAATAAATTATTATTTTTCCTTGGTTTTACTAGAAAAATTGAACTGTTTTGTAAATTCAGTGCCAAAAAAAAAGTAATGATGTGTGAAATTCTGGGGATGCAAGCGCTAATAGAATAATTTTTGGATATATTTTTTGATCCTTTGTAAGGTGGTCCCTGCCAAATGAGATAATCCAATATGATATATTTGGTTAAACCAGTACATAGGTGCAATGGTTAGTGCTATTACAAACTAAGATAATCTGATTTTAAAATATCACACACACACACACACACACACACACACACACACATATATATATATATATATATATATATATATATATATATATATATATAGAGAGAGAGAGAGAGAGAGAGAGAGAGAGAGAGAGAGGAGAGATGAGTATGTTTGGTACCAAGCACAAATTTTGTGCTTGGTAATGAGGTGACACAACCCTTCCACTCATTCAAATGGGGGACCACATTCACATGGGTTGAGGAGTGTATGTGGATATGCAATCATTTAAATGAGTGGATGTTATGTCCCCTCACTCAAGCATATCCATTTTTCTCATATATATATATATATATATATATATATATATATATATATATATATATTATATATTATATATAATATATGAAATATGGGTATGCTTGGTACAAGCACAAAAGTTGTTCTTGGTAGTGAGGTGTCACATTCCCCTCCACTCATTCAAATTTGGGACTACATTCACATGGGTATGGAGTGGATGGGGATGTGACACATTACTACGAAGCAAAAAATTTGTGCTTGGTACCAAGCATACTCATATTTCTTATATATATATATATATATATATATATATATATATATATATATATATATATATATGAGAGAGAGAGAGAGAGAAGAGAAAAACTTGTGTGAACTTAAGTGGATATCAAAAAGTTATCCACCGAACTTTTAGCCACTCATATTGCCTAAAGATCCTTGCATGATATGAAAAGGTTTTTTATATTAAAAATGAGTGACTAAGAAATTTGGTGGACATCACTTAAGTTGATAGGAGTTTTACTCTCTCTTCTCTCTCTCTCTCCTCTCTTCTCTATATATATATATATATATATATATATATATATATATATATATATATATATATATATATATATGTATCATATCGTATTGAAAGTGACATGGTATGAGTTATGATACATACTTATCCAACTGTTTCCATGTCGCACTCTTGGACTCGCATCACATATGTATGTCCAAGAAAATGGCAGTATCAAGTCAGGATGCATTCCCAATAACTTCCCTAAATCTACTTTTTTTTACGGCTCATGTATCTTTCATGGACCACAAGAGCTGATGAGCACACTCTACTGCCCTATCATGCAAAATCACACATGGGTATATAGAGCTTTGTTTGCCCTAATTTTTGGAGCGAATAATATTTCTACGGAAAACTCCAAGTCACACACAGCCAAAGTTTGATTCTGACTGTAGCTCTCTTTCTTTTTGGATGACAGGAGGATTGGGTGCTATGTAGAGTTTTCAATAAAAGGAAGGGAGAGGTTGCTAGTAGCTCTGGTGTAGAGAACTTGGCGTCCTCCCCTCCTTTGCTTTTTGATACGATGGGGTCATCATGCATGAACAATGTCCCACATCAAGAGGGCAACTCAAATACCTTAGTAAATTTGGAGGTACTGCATTATAATTTCCATGAATTTATTCAAGAGTTGGAGACCACAGATCTGATGAGCACGGAGATGGGGATGGGATCTAAGGATGGAGGGGATGATGACTACGGGTTCCTCTTTGACGCGGGGCTAGACGATGATGATCATGCCATGGGAGTCGAATGTGGAGGACACCTGGGGTTCTAATTTAAATGACGAGCTAGGTAGTAAGTAGATTGAAGAAAATTTAAAGGACGATCTCTAGTTCTAGATGAAAGTGCACGTACTGGTCTGATCTTACAGAGAAGATTAATTTGTAAATTTGTGATTGTGAGAGTGATTGTTGTGAAATTGTGAATATGTACAGTTTGGGTGTGGGCGTTGATTCGATTTGTTGTGTATGCGTGTGCAACCGAGACGACATGCTTATTAACTAACTCTGTTATCCTGCGGTCGTTTTGGGCTAAAATGCGAGTTTGGTCTCCATATTGAGGCTTCGTACTCAAATTATTCTTTATATTTTTTCCCCCTCAACTAGTTACCGTTTCACATTTTAATTACAAACTAGCTCTTTTTTCAACATCTGATAAACTGGATGTTTTCTTTTCGTTTATGACCACATTACCCTCTCAAGACATCCTTGTATTTTTTATTTAGAACACCTCTCTTTTAATCCATTTAATATCATTTAAGCTTACTAAAAAATTAAATTACTAAAACTAGCTAAGAACATAGGCAAGCTACATAATTAACCATGTAAGTACTAAGAACAAGTGTATATCTTTTTTTTTTTGGTAAATGAAAAATTTTATTCATTTCCCCAATTTTTGAAATGAGAGCACATCAAATGCCAGAAATTATTCCGGCAATCAAGGAAAAAATAACCCAAAAACTCACTTACAACCTTTCAATTTTCTCTCTCAAATGATCTGGAATGTCTTCATGTAACACTTTCATAAGGACTGAAAGCTTCACCTCCCTCACAAGTTGATCAGGACTTCGACATTTTTGCTGAAATATTCTTGAGTTCCTCTCCTTCCATATCCAGTATATTGTTGCCGACAGCACCATTCTCTTCATCTTCTTCATGAATCCTAGTCCTCTCAGGTTGTTGCTAAACCAATTCATCACACGATCCCAATCACATGATCTCCATGCAAAGCCTAGCCATTCCATCACTTCATTCCAGACAAACGCTGAGAATTGACACTCAAAGAAAAGGTGTTTTTTTTTATTCAGGGCGATTGACAGATCCTGTGCACAACACACACTGATTCTGGTTAGCATCCAATATCCTCATGCGACACAGCCTATCCTTGGTCAATAGCCTCGAGAGAATAGCAAGCCACATTATCAATGAGTGCTTGGGATAGTGCAAGCCCCCCCCAAACTGAATTCGACCAGTTTACAGTAGCTGAAGGATGGGAAATAGCATTGTATATAGATGAGATTTGGATATTACCATCTTTGAGACAGCTAGCAAGAACTCTATGTACATTCTCTATATTTCCAAATCTACTGATCACCAAATCCCTCACCTTTAGGAGTTGCCTCCACATCCAAGAGTCATTTTTCCTTGGTTGAATTTGCCAAATCCTCTGATTTTGTAAATAGTTCTCATGGACCCATTTAATCCACAATAAATCTTTTTTAGTATGTATCATCCATAGCAATTTAATACCTGTAGAGTAATTCCAAATCCTGCCAGTGAAAAGACTCAATCCTCCAAGTTTCTTATCCTTGCAGACATCTGTCCAGGAAACTAGATTAATTTTGTTCCCCCATAGGAAAGCAGAGCATATTTTATCAATCCTTTCCAAAACCTTGATCGGAAGGATATAGTTGCTTGTCCAATAGATTTGAATTCCCAGAATAACAGATTTTTTCCAAAACCTTGATCGGAAGGATATAGTTGCTTGTCCAATAGATTTGAATTCCCAGAATAACAGATTTTATGAGTTGGATTCTCCCCGCATATGACATTGCTTGTCCAATAGATTTGAATTCCCAGAATAACAGATTTTATGAGTTGGATTCTCCCCGCATATGACAGGTTTTTCCTGTTCTGCCAAGATTGGAATTGATCTGTGATTTTGGATATCAATGGTGAGCAATCAAGGAAGGAGATCCTCTTAGAGATCAGTGTCATGCCTAAATATCTCATTGGCAAAGAGCCCTCTGAGAAATTTAAGAATGTGCAAATTTGAGCCTTTGAATTATCATCAATATCACTCATGAGGATTGAGCTTTTACTAGAATTAGCCTCCAGGCCCGAGACATTGCTGAATTCTTGAAGACAGCTATGCATTTTAGCTATTGAGTCCAGATCAGCTCTTGCCTTAGTCCTCTAGGTCCCTCAAAGTACCCATGCAAGGAGCCATTTAGTGATAATGAGAATCTAGGAGTAGAGATACATTCCATTACCCAATTGATCATGTTATTAGGAAATCCCAACCCTGTCAGCATGTGTCTGATGAAACCCCAGCTTATCATGTCAAAAGCTTTTCTCAGATCAACATTGAGAACAGCTCTTGGAGAAATATGTCTTCTTCCATAATGTTTAAGAAGTTCGTGAGCTAACAGGATATTATTGGAGATAAGTCTTCCCTTAACAAATGCACTTTGTGCCTCATCAATCAAGTACCTAATTACTTTCTGAATTCTTGCAGTAATGATTTTAGAAATAACCTTGTATATACAGTTACAGCATGAGATTGGCCTATAATCAGCTGGTGATCTAGGGTTGAGAATTTTAGGTACTAGAGTGATGGAGGTGGAGTTAAAGGCACCAAGAAGTTTACTAGTATGGAAGAATTCCTCTATAGCTTTGCACATTTCATCTTCTATAATATTCCAAGCCGTTTTGAAAAAAGATGCACTGAATCCATCAGGCCCAGGGCTTTTGTCATCTGACATTGTGAACACAGCCTGTTTTATTTCCTTCCTTGTGACAGGAGATGCTAGCAAGCTCCTTTGATTTGCAGTTAAAATAGGGCCATTGGCAATGACATCTGGATCAGGCACAACATAGTTCCCTGAAGATCCTAGAAGTCCTTTATAATACTCAGTTAGCTCATTGATGATTGTAGGCATATCAGAAATTCTAGTGCCATTTTCAGTATAAAGGGATAGAACCCTGTTATGATGTCTTCTAGCTTTCATGATTGAATGAAAGAATTGAGAAGATTTATCTCCATGCACAGCCCATTTAATGTTGGCTTTCTGTCTGTAAAAAGATTCCTCATAATGTAGTAGAGTGGAATATTTCTTTAAGCATTCCTTTTCCTTGAATATAAGATGAGAGTTAAAGAGGTCAGTACTTAATTTATACTGAGTATCAGCTAGCTCTTGCTTGGCTCTTAATACTTGCTCACTAATATTCATGAAGTGCCTTTTATTTAGATCCTTCAACATTGGCTTGAGTAGCTTGAGCTTTGAATGTAACTTAAACATGTAGTATCCATGTATCTCCTTATCCCAAGCAGACTTAACAGTAGAGAGAAACTCAGGGTGTTTTGTCCACATCTTGAAAAACTTGAAAGGCTTTTTTCCCTGGAAAAAATCATCTCCAATTGTTAAGAGTGCTCGAGAATGGTTAGAACAAGCTGGTTGCAAGAATTCTACTTGGCTTGAAGTATATTGTAGGATCCATGATTCATTGACCAATACTCTATCTAATCTATTTCATATTCTAGTATCAGTCCCTTGTTTATTATTCCAAGTGTAGAAACACCCTGTAGTCTTAATGTGTGTCAGCTGACTAGAGGAGATGAAGTACTGGAAATCTTCAGTATCAGCCTCAGAAATTGGCGTACCTCCCAGTTTTTCATCATCACTGAGAATTGCATTGAAATCTCCCCCAACTAACCAAGGGCAATTTACTGATGACTTGAAGTTTTGAAGGTCCTGCCATAGTGCTTTTCTATCTTCTTTTTGATTGAAAGCATAGACTATAGACATTAAGCAAGAAATCCTGCCATCTCTCGAATGTATAGAACAAGTTATATATTGTACAGAAACTTTGACACATTGAACAGAAAGAATGTCATTATTCCAAAGAAGCCAAATCCTCCCATTACCTGCTTCCTGTACATTTGAAGTCCATTCCCAGTGCTTAGCAATTTTTTGAGCTATTTTATCCATTTTTGCTGAAGAAAGCTTTGTTTCTAGAAGAGCTATAAAAGAAAGTTTATAATCATGGATGAATTGTTTCACAATCAAGTGCTTAGGGGATTTATTAAATCCCCTGATATTCCATATTGAGAAGTGCATTACTGGCTTCCACCCCTGTCAACATAACAGGGATCAAAATCAAGAGTCTGTGAGTCCAGAGGAGAGAGATGAGATGCCTGAATAGAATTCCCTGAAGCTCTAGCTATTACTCTTCTAGCAGCATTTGTCTTGCTAACACTTGTAAACCCTGAAACATTAACTGTAGGGGAAGAAAATTGGTGAAGAGTTGCTAATCCAAAATCTCCCTGCCTAACATTTTGAGTATCAGTCACCTTTTGTTGTGCATGTTTCACTGTAGTAACACAAGTTAATTCATTATCAGGGAGTGCATGATACCCAGTTTCCATCCTCAGGTTAGTATCTGACACCATTTGTGCATGTTTCTTGGTATTACCTGAATTAATTTGAGCATTCTCTAGTTGCATTTGCTTTGTTGGCAAGATATCAGTCCTAATAGCCATAATATCCTGCTGTTCCCTAGTACGTGATTGGGATACATTTATATCCTAATCAGATACAAGATGACCTGGCAATGCATTCATATCCTTTGCTGCATTATTTTCCTTTCTGTTGACAGGAACCCATATTTTCTTTAACTTTTGTCTTCTGCAGTTATCAGTATCATGACCAATAATATTGCAGTTTGAACACCACCTTGGCTTAAGCTCATATATAATCTTCTGATTATATTTTTTCCCATCAGGCCCAAGTAGATCCACTGAGTCTGGCAAAGGCTCCTTCAAGGGTAATTGAACTTCAACTAAGATTCTAGCATAGCTTAATTTCTGCCTAGTGGCAGTGAGCATATCGGTTGTAATAGGGCGTCCAATTTAGCTAGATATTTTGCTAATTCCTGTAGCACTCCACAAATTAAGCTTTAGATTTGGGAGTTGAATCCACATAGGATAGGAGTAATCCTGAACTTTCTCCACATTAATTTCAGTAGACCATGGTTTAAGTATCAAAGGCCTTGAGCCAAAAAACCAAGGTCCAGCATCTAACACATCTCTCATATGTTGATCAGACTGAAAATCAAATAAAAACACCCCTTGCTTGAGCAGAGAAATTCTGGGAATAGTTATCCTACCCCATGCTTTGTTGATGAAGGTTTCCATGGATCTGAATTTTACATTCAGACCTATAACATGCCCAATTAAGGCATACTTCCAAAATTGTTCACCCTCCTTCCATTCTTCAGCC